GAGAAATATTTTGAAAAGAACCTCTGACCGTTCTCTCTTCTACAGGCAATAAGAACACTGCCAAATGTTCAGAATGGACTTTCTCACAATATTATTGAAAGTTAATAAAAGCTTGAAAAAAACTCCAGGAAGCATTTATTCAAAAAACAAGGGTTCAACCCAAGTGAAGATACTAAATTTCCACAAACAACCCCCAGAACTAGATGGGCTCACTAGTAAATTCTACTGAATGTTTAAGCACGAATTACACATTTTCACAAGTCCCTCCCAAGAGACGGTGAAAGTAGATGCTCTCTAACTCATTCACTGACATTCAGACTACCCTAAAACCCAAACTAGACTGTTAACACCATAAGAAAAGCACAGAATAACATCTGTCATGAATATCGATACAAAAACCCTCAGAAAGCTTCTTCACACCAGGACTGTGGCATTGACTGAGATGGCACATGCCTGGTGTGGAAATATAGGACACCAGCTTAGATTCCTGGTGTCTATGGAAAAGGTAGGCATGGTGGCATGTACCTGTCATCCCAGCACATGGCCTGAGGGGTACAGTCAAGATCGAAGGGTTCACTGACCAGTCAGACTAGCCAATCAGTGAGCTCCAGGTTCATGGAGACCCTGTCTCAAAAGAGAAGCAAGAAGAATAGAGGTGGACACCCACCATCAGACATTAATATTCACCTTCTACGTGTACATGTGCACACACACATATACAAGTATACCCTATGCTTACATTTTCTTTCTGAGGTGATAAGATTTTATATGCTTAGATAGTGGGAGAACTGCAGTTTTGTGAGTGTACTAAAAAAAAAAAATGCTTAATTGTAAACTCTAAAATGATGAATTTGGTGATATGCAAATTAATTTTCCGAAAAGATCCATTTAATGAAACTGGCATATAGTCATATGGTCAAGAAATACTGAGAAGCAGAGCGCTGCCTAGCCAGAGGTCTCCCACCTCTCCATCCTACTGCAGGCTTTCATTGCAGTACAATATGTAATGCAGACTAAAAACACCCACACCCCCATGCAGCCCCTGTTCATCGTCTCCCTGACCTAACAGATTCACACACAATGCTGCAAGGGTCCTGCTCTCTGGCACTGGTCAAGCATGTTTACTACTTTGTTTTTACTGATGCTTTGACATGTCACACTTGTTGCTGCTGGAGGGCTGTCCCTCCCTCCCAAGGCCAGCCAGATACTAGCTGTAGGAAAGGTTCTACCTTTCATAAGCAAACCATCCGAACAGAAGCCACTGCCTCCAGTGAGAAGCTTTTACACCAGGTCATGACACCTGGACCAACATCCATCTGTCCTAGTTACCTTAGAGGCCAGACAACTGGAGTCAGTGCTGACATTCAACAACCCATTGGAACCATTCACATCAGCCAATCCCAAGGCTGTGCATCTTACTTTTCCTGCAGTCACAACAAATAAATATTCCTGCCTGAGCCTTACCCTCACTCCAACACCTCACTGACCCTGATGCCTCCTATGTGACCATGCCTTGTGTGTTACTCCTTGGTGTCTAGGCTCTGTAAGAAAAGACATCTTAAGAGTCGTATTGTGTCCACATGGCACACATACTTGGGCTCAGCAACTCCTAGGCACTGTTAAAATGTTACCCTTCAAACCTGGCTCCTCTTTGTTTTTCCTGCTTGACTGCTTGCATCAGATACTCCCTAGAGTTTCCATACATGATGTGTCTTAGCTTGCAGTGCCTCGTTGTCACTGTGCCTTCACACATGCTGGCCTCCATCTAAAAGGGCTCTCTTTGGAGATATAGAAACAACTCTATGGTTAAGAATGCTTGCTGTTCTTGAAAGGGACCATAGCTTGGTTCTCAGCACCCATGCTAGAACATTCACAGCTACCTTTAATACCAGCTTCAGAGCATCTGACATCTTTTTGACCTCCATAGGTACCCACATGCACATATACATACACAGACACACATACACACATGCATACACATAAAAATAAAAATCATCAGAGTACTTTTTGCTACAATTATTCCTAAGGTACCAACAGGGTTCACTTCATACACCCCCTCGGAGCCCACCAGGACAGTCAATTCTGTGTTCCACCAGTACTTGCCACATTTCTCCTTCAAGTTCATGTATCTCTCTGTGCTGACTGGAAGTACCTCTAACATACGGCCTGTAAGTATCAATATCTGAAGTCCCATCAAAGCAACTTTGAGATATCATCTTACACCTGTCAGAATAGCCAATGTCAAAAACACCAATGATAGCCTATGCTGGAGAGGATGTGGAATGAGGGGAACACTCATCCGTTGTTGGTGGGAATGCAAACTTGTGCAGCCACTGTGGAAATCAGTGTGGCGGTTTCTCAGGAAACTGGGAGTCAACCTCCCTCAGGACCCAGCAATTCCACTCTTGGGAATATACCCTAGAGATTCCCTAACATACTACAAAAGCATTTGTTCAGCTATGTTCATAGCAGCACTATTTGTAATAGCCAGAACCTGGAAACAGCCTAGGTGCCCCTCAATAGAAGAATGGTTAAAAAAGGTGTGGAACATATACACATTAGAGTTTTACTCAGCGGTAAAAAACAATGACATCTTGAATTTTGCATGCAAATGGATGGAAATAGAAAACGCTTTACTGAGTGAGGTAAGCCAGACCCAAAAAGAGGAACACGGTATGTATTCACTCATAAGTGGATTCTAACCATAATTAAAGGTCTTTGAGCCTATTATTCGTGATCCTAGAGAAGCTAAATAAGAAGATGAACCTGATGAAGATTATTTAGCTATCCGCCAGGAGGTAGGAAATAGACAAGAGTCCCAGGTAACCTCGGGTGCATGGGGGGGTGGGAGGGTTGTTGGAAGGGGAGAGGGTTAGAGAGAAGGGAGTAGGGGAGGAATGGGGAAAGAGCGGGGAACTGGGGTGGGGGGAAGGAAAGAAGGATGGATATGGGATCAGGCAAGTATATACCTCAACTAAGGGAATCATTTTAGGGTTTACAAGAGACTTGATTATAAAGGGGATCCCAGGTCCAAGGAGAGATCCCCAGATCATTCTCTGGACAGAGGAGAGGGTGCCTGAACCGGCCTTGGCCCACAACCATACTGATGAATATTTTGCATGTCACCATAGAACCCTCATCTGGCGATGGATGGAGATGGAGGCGGAGACCCACGTTGGAACACTGGACCTAGCTCCCTAGGTCCAAATGAGAGGCAGAAGGAAAGAGAACGTGAGCAAGGAAGGCAAGATCAGAGGGAACCTTCATCCGACGTTGGATGGTGATACAGACGGAGACCCATATTGGAACACCGAACTGAGCACTCCACGGTCCAAATGAGGAGCAGAAGGATAAAGAAAATAAAAAAGTAATCAGGACTGCGAGGGATGCGAGCACCCACTGATACAAGGGGACTGATATAATGAGAGTTCACCAAGGCCTGTTGGACTGGGATTGAACGAGGAAGTGATCCCACCAGATTCTCTGAATGTGGCCGGATTCTCTGAATGTGGCTGGCCCAGAGCCTTTCTGAAAAGCCATTGACAATGACACTGGGACTTGCTTCCTCTGCATATACTGGATTTTGGCGCTCCAGTCTGTTTGGACTCTCACCTTCCCTGGACATGGAGGGAGGGGGGAGGAACTTGAACTTCCCACAGGGCAGGAAACCCTGACTGCTCTAGGGAATGGAAAGGGAGGAGGAGAGGGAGTGGGGGGAGTGGGAGGGTGTTGGGAGGAGGGGCTGAAATGGAAACTTTTATAATTTAATAAAAAAAAAAAACCAATATCTGAAGTCCCCAGAACACAGCTGTGGTGGTTTAAATGAGAATGCCTCCATGGGCTCTTATGTTGGAGTGATTGGTCCATAGTTAGTGGAACTGCTTAGGAAGGATTGGGGCATGTCTTAGAGTTTTATTGGTTAGAGCTCCAGTGAAAAGACACCATGACCGTGGCAGCTCTTATAAAAGAAATCATTTCACTGGGGCTGGCTTACAGTTCAGAGGTTTGGTCAGTTATCATCATGGTAGCAACCATAGTGGTGTGCAGGCAGACATGATGCAGGGGGTATTTGAGAGTTCTACATCAGGATCCACAGGCAACAGCAAGAGACAATGGCTTGAGCCATTGGCATCTGAGACCTCAAAGTGACCTCCTCTAACTAAGCCACACCTACTCCAACAAGGCCTAATAGTGCCACTCCCTCTGGGCCTATGGGGGCCAATTTCTTTCAACCACAGGAGGTGTGGTCTTGTTGGAGAAGGTGTGTCACTGGGAGTGTGTTTTGAGATTTCAAAAGTCCATGCCAGGCCCACATATACACATTTTATATATATGTGTGTGTGTGTGTGTGTGTGTGTGTGTGTGTGTGTGCATGTGTGTGTGCATGTGTTTGTGCATGTGTATATGTCTGTCTCTCTTTCTCCTCTGACCACGTCTGTCTTTCTTTCTGTCTGTGTCTCTCTCTGTCTCCTCCTGTCTCCCTGACTCATTTTTCTATGTGGATCTGTGGATCTGTCTCTATATCTGCCTATCTCTGTCTGTCTCTGTCTGTCTCTGCTCTGCCCCCACTTCTTCCTGCTTCCTACCGGTAAGGATTTAAAGCTCTCAGCTACTATTCTAGCACCGTACCTGTTTGCTTCCTGTCGTGATGGTCATGGACTAACACTTTGAAACTGTAAGCAAGTCCTCAATTAAATGCTTTCTTTTATAGGAGTTGCCTTGGTCAGGGTGCTTCTTCATAGCAATAGAAGGGTGAGTCAAACAACAGCAAAGAGTCAGGAAATTATTGCCCATTGAATAAATGTAACGTTTCATTCTTTCATGGGAGACATCTCCAGGGCCGGTGCGTAAACTCCTTGAGTGTGCAGCCCTTAGCCCAGTGGGGCCATGCACCTGGGTAAAGCCTTGGGGGGGGGGGCTGAAATGATGGTGAGGCACAAGCACAGGGGGGAGATCTGGGTGGGGAAAGTGGGGCAGGCCCGGGACATGGCTCAACTCACACTGCTCTTCCCACTCGCGCTCCTCCTTCTCACTGGCTTGGCAGTGCAGCTGGGCCTGCTTCAGGGTCCAGTAGAGTTCTTTGGCTCGTTGCTCCTCCTGGAGGCGAATCTGTTCTTCTCCTCGCCTCCTCTCTTCTTCCTCTTTCCTCTGCAAAATTATTGAGACAGAATGGCATTCGAATGGGGAACTAACTGCCTGGGGGATTCTGTAGCTAGTCAAGCTGAGCTGTCTGGAGGAGAATGACCAGCAGCCACCATTCTACTCCTGGTCCTTACACAACTGAAATGTGATCATCACACTTGGTAAGAATCAAATGGATTGGCAGATTGAAGTAAATTTTATTTGCTGTTTTGCAGCACATGGGATTGAGCCTAGAGCCTTATTTTTTTTCTGGCTTAATAATTGCTTTATCTTAAAGAAGAATACTGAAATTTCTCAAACTCCTATCAAGTACAGTAAACATTCTCTAGATTAACCCACATATGAGTTCTTATAAACACAGTATTACTTCTTTTTCAGAGGGACACCCTTCTGGGAGTCATTTTCCATTCTTCTATGGGCGGTGTAGGCTGCTTCCTAGATACCTCTCCGCCCATACTCCAGGACCCTCCTCTGAACCTTCTCTGAGACAGAGCCCTGTTTCACCGGTAGCTGCTTTCCCTCTGTAGTCACTTATCTCAGGATACACTGAGCCACTTTCTGAGTGTTTGCCTGAAAATATTGCTATGCCAGCCTCTCACTCAGCTACTAATTTAGCTGAGCACAGAACCTGATTAATTAAAAAACATTGCTACCTTGTCGTCCAGCATTGCTGGCACTTCTTCATCCGCTGCATAGGGGACTTGTTTTCTCCCTGGATATCTGCAGAGTCTTCTTACCATGGGTATTCTAAAGAATTTTCTTTTCTTTCCTTTCCCCCTTTTTTTGTTCTTGTTTTTATTGAAAATAGACTCTTCTCTTTTCCAATATAACCCAACCACAGTTTCCCCTCCCTCCACTCCCCTTCCATTTCCTTCAGAAAGAAGCAAAACATGGCCCACTGAATCAATTAAGCAGGGCTTATATGGGTTCAGAGACTGAAGTGGCAAGCACGGGACCTGCATGGCTCTGCACGAAATCCTCTGTGTATGTGATAAGGCTGTTAGCATGGTGCTTCTATGGTACTCCTAACATTGGGAGCAGGTTTATCTCTGACTCTTCGGTATGTTCTTAGGACTCTTTTTCTCTTATTGAGTTGCCTTGTCCAGCCTCTATATGAGGGCTTTTGCCTTTTTATTATTTTTTTGAGGGGGGGGTCTCTGTATAACAACAGTCTTGGCTGTTCTGAAACTCACTTTTATAGACCAGACTGGCCTCAGTGATACTTTGTCTTATACTATCTTGTTTTGTCATGTTTGGTTGTCGATTCTACAGCATTCTCAATGATGTGCTGAGGGTTGTCTGCAGGCTAGAGTCCCGTGTCTGCCCAGTACAGTACTTCCCCTCTGCCTGGATGAGTTTCCTCACTTCTCTTTCTATGGGACTCCCATTGTCTAGTACCAGGCAGCCTGAGTCAGCCTCGTAAAGACTCCATCTTTTCTCTCTTACTTTCCACGTCTTGTCTTTTCTTGTTCTGCCTCCTTGTTGAAGTCGCTGACTCTCTCTTCCAACTGCTTCACCAGTTGTGAGCTGTTTTCTTTCCGTTGTAGTATGTGTGATTTTTTTTAAGCCCCCATTCTTATTTGCTCACTGCCTCCTTCATGTGGCTGCATCCTGTATTTGTTTCAGAAGTGTGAGAGCCTAGCTCTCTGAAGATTGAGGCCTTTGTCTTTCTCCCTGCTCTGGCTGAGACCTATTTCTTTTGTGTTCGGTTGCATTTATTTGACTTGGGGCCTGCCACTTCTAGAAAAAGAAGGCTTTCTTCAGATAGTCTTTCCCTGTCTGTTCACAGTGAAGAAGAAAGTCAGACTTGAATGGGAAGTTGAGTATATAGCCAACCTCACTGAGAGACGAGCTTTACTCTGTAGCTGTTACATAAGGAACCAGCCATTTCTTTGAAGAACGAGCAGGTGGAAGGTTTTGGGGCTCCTTTCTGTAAGATTATCCAGAATCTCCTATTCTCCCTGAGTGGTATCTGACCAGGAGCCAACAGTGAGCAGGCTGCAGGCAGAATTGTCCTTAAATCCCCTGACCTAAGCCTCATGCTTTATGCGAAGTCATGGTTTGAAGTGACTTATTTGTCAATTTCTTCCTCCGGTTCCTTTCCCAGCGGATAGGAGAGGGGCAGCCCTTTCTTTCAAGGCCAGACAAGGTCCTGTGTGAGCTCTGGTCCCTTTTAATTTGCTTATCATGTTCTCTGTTTCTCTCTCTATTATATGAGTGAGGACACAGACTGTGTGGAACAGCAGCGTTCAGGCTGTGCTAGCCTTGAAATACTGCGTTTTCTAAAGCAAGGGTGTTGGTGGTTGTTTCTTTTATCTTTGCTTTTTGTTCTTTTTACTCTTTTGGGGGCCCACCACTCAGCTCTCAAATAAATCACACTGAGACTTATTCTTACTTATGAATGCTTGGCCTTAGCTTGGCTTGTTTCTAGCCAGCATTTTTAAAAATATCTTGTCTACTTTTCGCCTCTGGGTTTTTAATCTTTCTATATACTACATAAAGGTATATATATTCTATATACCTTTTTTTTTTTTTACTTCTTACTCTGTAGCTGGCTATGTAGCTGGCTGCGAATGTCCTCCTCTTCTCCTTTTCTTGCTCCTTTGGTCTTCTCTTCCCAGATGTCTCCTATTTATTCTCTCTGCCTGCCGTCCCTGCCTACCCTTTCTCCTGCCTGGCTATTGGCCGTCCAGCTCTTTATCAGACCCTATCAGGTGTTTTGGACAGGCAAAGTCACATAGCTTCACTGAGTTCAACAATTACAAGATAAAAGAGTACAACACATTGTTGCATCATTAAACACATGTTCCACAGCATAAACAAATGTAACCTTTTACATTTGTTTACAATGTAAACAAATGTAATACCTTAAAATAATATTCCACACAAGAGTTTCTTATTACATCTTTAAAGCTTAATTTGTATGCATGCTTATATGGGGGGCACATGCATGACATGGCATTTAGGTAGCGATCAGAGAACTGCTAGTGGGAGATGATTCTCTTGTTCCGCAAGGTGGATCCCAGGGATGGGATTCAGTTCCTTAGACTAAGTAAACTGAGAGGGCTAAGCTCTCGCACCATTCCCAAAGGACTGGTTTTGACCTGAGTTACTCTAGCCTAAGCCTAAGTGGTAGGATAAGACCACTGTCTTAGTTAGAGTTGCTATAGCTGGAAGAGACACCATGACCACGGCAACTCTATATTACAGAGAAAACACTTGGAGTGGCAGCTTATAGTTCAGAGGTTCAGTCCTTTATCAGCATGGTGGGGAGCATGGCCGTATGCTGGCAGATGTGGTGCTGGGAGCTAAGAGTGCTCCATCTTGTAAGCAACAAAAGTCAACTGACTGTCACAATAAGGGAAGTACACCAGGCTTTTTCTTTTGGGCCACCAACCAGCTCCCAGATCATGACACGGAGACTTACCATATGTTATAAATGCTTGGCCTTAGCTTAGCTCTTATTTTAATCTGTTTCTCTTTATCTATGTTTTTGCTTCAGGTATTTTTGCTTTTATTTCTATTTGTCCTACTTTCCTGCTTCTCCTGTTTGGCTGGCTGGCTTCTAGTCCCAAGCATGCCCCTCTCTTTCTCCCTAGTTCTCTTCTCCTTCTTCTCTTTTGAGAGTTTCTCTAGATTTCTCTTACTACTTATTCTCTCTGCCTATCAGCCCCACCTATCCCTATCTTGCCTAGCTATTGGCCATTCAGTTTTTTATTAGACCAATGAGGTGCCTTAGACAGGCAAGGTGAAACAAATGCAATGCATCTTTACATAATTAAACAAATGCAGCAAAAACAAATGTAACACATCCTTACATCATTAAGCAAATGCAGTATATACAAATACAACACACCTTTACACAACTAAAGTAATATCCCACAACATAAACAAACGCACCACGTTAATTATCTAGTTAAGATAATATTCCAACAGGAAAGCTAGAGCAAAAGAGACCTCAAAGTCTGCCCCCACAGTGACACACCTCCTCCAACAAGGCCATGCTTCCTAATGGTGCCACTCTCTTTGGGGGCCATTTTCTTTCAAACTATCACAATGACATTAATAACATTATAACTTGTTTATTCAAGTAAACAACCACCATTGTGAGACACAAACTGATAAATAATGTATTTGGACCAATAAGTTATCACACATGTATATATATGGAATCATATTGGAAACACCATACATGAGTTTATTAATCACACTAGATGTAAGTCTTTCACCTTCGACTATAAAGAGGAGTATAGAAGACCAAGATGTAGATGCATAAAGATCACCAACCAGTCACTTATCACAAGTTTCATCCTAAAAAATTGCTACAGCAAAGGACTTCTTCTGCCTTTGTCCACAGGCTGAACAGATAAAGCAGTTTCTCTTTCCTAGGACATGTGCCCAACTGTAAAAGAACATTCAAAAGTGCCTGCTACCTGACATCTGACTACTCTGTGCTTTGAACAGCTCTACAGCTGGGGCTTGTAAAACTACTAATCAAGTCCTTTACTGAAACTTTCCCTTACATCTACATAGCCTCTTTGACCTCCTCAAAGCCAGTCTTAAAATATGCTTACTACTCTGCCTTGTGAAATGCAATGTGTTAATAGTAATAATATTAAAACAAAAAATTCAGGGGTTGCTATTGGCCATGTCTATCAAGTGAAATCAATATATAGAGCTCCCTGAAGGAATGAAGAAACATTTGTGCTCCTCCCCTTTGACTACAAGACTTAGAACAATGGTCCCCAAGAAACTGGAATTGCCAGGAATCTCACACTAGGAGAAGGAGTCTGGTATGAAACACTGAGGAACTGGTCTGCCATCACACAGTTTTGACAACATGTCAGACCTTCTTGCATGAAAAACCACAGTAAAGGCAACAATGATGGGTCAATAACAGGTAAATCACACCTTAACCAGGACTACTTAGCTATGCATACCCTTGACCCTCTGATTAAATCTAAACCTCATGTCAGGGCTCTGAGAATGGACTGGGGACCATTTCA